GCTGTTACAAACACAATCTGAAGGTTCTTGTCTGTTTCCCCTCCTTTTTCTTCCTCCTCCATTCTTTATATATTAGGTATCATATCCTGTACTTTTTGTCTATCCGTTGATTGACTATGGGGATAGTTAATTTAATTTTGCATTTGCTTCATAATTAGCTGTTCTACTTTCTTTACTGTGGTTTTATTGCCTCTGGTGACAGCTATTCAACCTTAGGAACACTTCCATCTATAGCAGGCCCTCTAAAATAGACTGTAGAGATGGTTTGTGGGAGGTAAATTCTCTCAGCTTTTGCTTATCTGGAAATTGTTTAATCCCTCCTTCAAATTTAAATGAAAATCTTCCTGGATAAAGTAATCTTGGTTCCAGGCCCTTCTGCTTCATGGCATTAAATACATCATGCCACTCCCTTCTGGCCTGTAAGGTTTCTGCTGAGAAGTCTGATTTAGCCTGATGGGCTTTCCTTTGTATGTGATCTTATTTCTGTCTCTGACTGCTTTTAGCAGTCTGTCCTTATCCTTGATCCTTTCCATTTTAATTACTATGTGTCTTGGTGTTGTCTTCCTTGGGTCCCTTGTGTTGGGAGATCTGTAGATCTCCATGGCCTGAGAGACTATATCCTTCCCCAGATTGGGGAAGTTTTCAGCAACTACCTCCTCAAAGACACTTTCTATCCCTTTCTCTCTCTCTTCTTCTTCTAGTATCCCTATAANAGATCTCCATGGCCTGAGAGACTATATCCTTCCCCAGATTGGGGAAGTTTTCAGCAACTACCTCCTCAAAGACACTTTCTATCCCTTTCTCTCTCTCTTCTTCTTCTAGTATCCCTATAATGCGAATATTGATCCACTTGGATTGGTCACACAGTTCTCTCAATATTCTTTCATTCTTAGAGATCTTTTTTTCTCTCTCTGTGCCTCAGCTTCTTTGTATTCCTCTTCTCTAGTTTCTATTTCAGTTTTTGTCTCCTCCACCATATCCAATCTGCTTTTAATACCCTCCATCGTGCTGTTCAACGATTGGATCTCCGACCTGAATTCATTCCTGAGTTCTTGGATGTCTTTCCGTACCTCCATTAGCATGTTGATGATTTTTATTTTGAACTCCCTTTCAGGAAGAGTCACGAGGTCCATATCATTTAAATCTTTCTCTGGAGTTGTATTAATAATTTTACTCTGGACTAGGTTTCTTTGGCATTTCATGTTTGTATATGGTGCCCTCTAGTGTCCAGAACCTCTATTCTGGAGCTGCTCAGCCCCTGAAGTAATGTCGGGGGTCGCAGGGGATCGGTACTGATTACTGGGGGGTGGAAAGAGCTTTTCCCTGTCTCCTGGCTGCTGTGCGTGTCTCCACTGCCTGAACCAGTGGGCCGAGCACACAGGTGTGATTTTTTGTCCCTGAGCAGCGGGATATGGATCCCTGCTTTCCACAAGTGGCCGGAATCCCAGTCTCCCCCGGAACTCTGCCTGTATTAACTTTCCAACCCAGTAGTCATGCGAGTGTCATGAAAGCACCATGAAGTGTAGGTTTGTGCTCCCAGAGCAGGTCTCCCAAGCTAGGTATTCAGCAGTCCCAAGCCTTCCACTCCCTCCCTGCTCCGTTTCTCTTCCTCATGCTGGTGAGCTGGGTTGGGGGAAGGGCTCAGGTCCCGTGGAGCCATAGCTCTGGTACGTGACCCCATTCGGAGAGGTCTGCTCTTTTCTCCAGGTGTGTGCAGTCTCGCGCCATCCTCTTTCCTGTTGCTCTCTCAGGATTAGTTGCGCCAACTATATTTTCTGATTGTATCCAGTTTTAGGAGGAAGCCCCTGTCTCTCCTCTCATGCCACCATCTTTAATCCGTCTCCTCCATTTGCTTTTAAGAGGATTTTGGTGATAAAGCATGAGTTCTCTTATTTCATTATACGAAAGTGTAAAATGTCTAATTCATTACATAAATGGTACTAAGATGGCATGTTTGGTTTCTCTTGCATCCAGTTAATTAACAAATGTTTATTGAAGACTTGGCACATGCACAAACCTTTAATTCTGAAATCACAAAGACGGTTTGGGTTTTTGATTCAAGGAAGTTTTGAAAAGGAACTTTGTAGAAAAAAGGCTGTAAACACTCAGATTCCCTTTGTAGTTTCACCTTGTTGCTAAATAAACTATTTTTAATCTCTGTAAACAGATCTCTAGAGGTATCCATTAATTTGATTTCTGTGTGTTCCACACCAAAGGAAAGAAAATCAGAAACTCTCAACAGTAAGAACTCAAAAATTAGATATTTTTCCTTCTTGATTGTAAATAAATTTTGTATGGACCTGAGTGTTGTTTTCTTTGCCTTTCATTTTTTATCCTTCTGAATAAATGAATGTATCTAACTCAGAGTGGCAATGCAGTCTTCTCTCCTAGATAGTTCCTCTGCTGTGTGTTAGCAAATGCTGTTTTACTTGGTAATTGTTGGAACATTTGAGGTTGTGCTGTACATAAATAAAAATAAATGATGTTTCTGTAAGGAGACATATCCTGGGGTGAGATTCTGAGTGCTCAGTTGCCCATGATTTTCAACTAGGTCTCAGAGAGTTGACTTACATTTATTTATCATTATTTTATTATAAGTTTTTGGGGAGAAGAGAACACAGTTTGCCTTTGGCTTCAGACAAGGCAGGAACAGATTTAGACTCATTAGAAAACAGAGACAAATGTTAAAAAAGGAAAACAATCACCACTTTACTTGAAATGTTTTATCTCTACACATTGTGTGGGATTGTAAAATAATTTTTTTTATGTGAGGATGGTCACAGCAGTGATTGTCTTGCAAACACCTTGGCCTCTTTAGCTTTTTTCCTCCATAATGTCTTAGTATATAAACTTTGCAATATCAAGGGCTAAAGGGGTTTTAAGACAACTGATTCAGAAGTCATAGCATAGAATCAGTAAGACTGCTGCTTTCTTTAGGTTTTCTGGTTTTATCATGGCAAGATAACAATGCTTTCAGATATGCCTGTGACTTTATGGAATACCATTTTTATTTTTCTGTATTTGCCTTAATGTAATCCTCTATGAGAAATATCTCTGTGCTTAGGATCATGAATTTACTTTTTTGGTGTTAGTTTTTCCTGTAACTGTAATAAAGTGTAGGGAAGTACATAAATAAAGTGTGGGTCACTAAATAAGTGTCAAAGCAAGTCAGTCTTTTTTCTCTTTTCATTACTGTATTTCACTAGTATTGATCCTGCTTTCCAAGGGTCTGGATAGCTGTTTATTTTGTGTTAGCAGAGGAAAAGAAGCCTTATGTGCAATTTTTGCTCATTATTAGCACAATGGAAACATACTTGAAATTTCAAGCAGAACACATTCATATTTTTTACTCAAATCATGAAAATGCTTATAAAGTTTTGTCGGTGTTTGTGGTATTTTTTTTGATTTATAGCTTGAATTAAGTTTAAATTCATGTCTTCTAAGCTAAAAATTCAGAGAAGGGCTCTGTTCTCTATTATTATAAAGAGATGTAATAGGCTCAAGAAAAGAGGTACCCCCTTTAGGGGTGACATTTATACCTATAATGTTAAGGCTAACCTTAAAGGACAAAGTGATACATTTTTGGATTTTTGCCAGCTTAATTTTACTGTTTTCATAAATTTTTTTTGAGCTTTGAAATTTGGGCTTTATTTTTAATGACTGCATGACTCCATTCTATGTCTAGACCACACATTATATATGGTCCTTCCCCAATTTTGATTATTTCTGCTGTTTATATTTTTTCATTTCATTAATAGTGTGATGAATATATTTGTATTTAAATGTTTGCCAGAATCTTTGATTATCTCCAAGAATTACTATGCTAAAGGTTATGAACTTCTTTAAGGTTTTAGGTATATTTTGCCAAATTGCTTTCTAGAAAAGCCAAACTAGTTCACAGTTTCATAATTAGTGTTTATATTAGTACAAACTCATCACATTCTCACCAGTATTGAGTATAATAGTTTAAAAAATTCTATATGATGATCTATAGATTCTCAAAATTATAGAGGAGACTTTTAAAACCTAATGTTTTATGGGTGCATTTTAGAATATAACAAAGTATTTAAAGTCTTAAAAGAATGGTAGGTATTGTGAGGTAGTCCACTTTCAATATATAGCTGGACTGACAACTTTTTACCACCTCAACAGTAACCACCTAAGTAGTCCAAGCTTCAGCATTTCTTCTGGAACTATATGGTAGCTTCCTAAATGGTCTTCTTGCATTCTCTTTTATGCCTAGGCAGTGTGTTCCTCAAAGGACATGACTTAAGTTGGATTCTTATTCTAAAATAAAACTTAAAATTCTTCCCATGATTTAGAAAATCCTATAGGATTTGGCCCCTGCCTCTCTCACCTTAACTTTTGTGATGTACCCTTTTCATTGTGTTGCAGTCACAAAGACCTCCAAGCATGCTCCCTTTAAGGCTTTTGTACTTGTAATTTTCACTGCCTGAACATACTTGCCTGTGGAATCTTTGTTGTAGGGCTCTTTTCAAATGTTGCTTATAAAAGAGGTTTTCCCTCTAAAACATCATCCTTATCACTCTTAAATGCTTTCTTCCTGATTTACTAGTTCTTCACTAGCACTTATAACTTGACAGTCTGTATTTGTTTATTTCTATATCTGTTCCTTTGTCTAGACTCCAAGCTCCATGAGGGTGGGCATTTTGTGTTTGTTATTCATTGCTCTATCCTCAGTGCCTCATACATAATAGTTGCTCAGTAAATATTTGTTGGCTACAAGAGTAAATATGTTTGCATACCCTGCAACATATTTGTGATTGCAAATGGGGGAAATTGGGGATGGTATTTGAAGGAAATAGTGTATTACAGAACTAGCACTGGTAAATGTGAGGATGATTGCTGAACCCAAGAGGTAGGAAGAAAAAAAATCATGAGCATCCCATAGCTCTTATATTAAAGATTCTGGAAGTGGTTGCTTTATATAATTAGAATTGATGTTTTATCAAGCCATATTTGGTTATATTCCATTTAAGATGAAGATGACGACTTTGTGTGTAAGAAGGCAGTCTCTAAATCAAAAGAGAATGGAGTTTCTACAAATAGTTATCTTGGAGCATCAAACATGAAAAAGAATGAAGAAAACACTAAGACCAAAAATAAGCCTTTATCACCAATCAAACTTACCCCCACATCAGTCCTTGATTATTTTGGAACAGGAAGTGTCCAAAGATCAGATAAGAAGATGGTGGCAAGCAAAAGAAGAGAGGTGAGTATTCTGCATGCAAGCAAGAATGTTTAGGATTTGTACCCACTCACTGTTATTAATAAAAGGAGAAATTTGGATGTTATAAATAAGTCAACATTTTCTCATGATGAAAATAATTTTTCTGTAATTATCGTTAAAACACTGGTATTATTTTAGAGGAAAAGAAAGTTAAAATAGCATACATTTAATATTTTTATAATTGAAAGTGGGAAGAGACCATTTAAGTCATAAGAATAAATTGTAATTCTTAGAATTTAAATTCTCAGAATGCCAACTTACTTTACTTTTGACTTCCTCCAGACAAAACTGGACAATAAATTTGTTCCCAAATGAGGTCAGAAATACGTCATTTATAAATAGGTAGAGCCTACCTATGCTGTACTTTGGTCTTTTCTACTTTGGCTAATACTGGATTTTTCTTTTCCTCAACATTTAGGAAGCACAACTACAGATAAATTATAGTGAAAGTAGTCCTCTGAGTTAAAGCCTGCCAAGTCAGGTGTGTGTGTTGATTTCCTTAGTGCCTCCATAGGACAGTGTAAGTCATCCTTACATACTGGTTTGCCAGTGCTGTGGACAACGGGGCTTTTGGTTGTTAAGTGAGAACCATCTATTGTAGGGTATTTGCTATTAGGAATTTGGATATGGTCAGGGAGTAGCTATGAATGTAATTTTTTGGCTGGTGTGCATTGAGACTGTTTTATAGCTGATACACTTATCTCTCATGAGTGTATTTAATCAGCTACAGTAAAAAAGAGAAGTACATTATTTTTATCTTAAGGATTATGCTGGTCTTGCTTGATTTTCTTTGAAATTTAGCCTTCACAAAATGAAGCCATCACAGATGATTCCAGATTAAATGATGCAGCCATCGCCAAGCAATTGCAACTTGATGAAGATGCAGAGGTACTGGCATTTTGTTTAGATATCATTAATGACTTGGTGTTGTGACTTGCTGTTTAGTCTACCTGGGCAAACAGTCAGGATTGTTCTAGTCTAATGTTGGATTGAGCCTCAGTGTAAGAGTTACATGTAAGAAAAGTTAAAATTTAATATATCAAAATCTAAGTTTATGTAGAGGATAAATGATGGGAATAGGGGATAATTATTTATATAAAGATTTATTATTAGATTTCTTTGAGTAGAAGCCTCTTTTAGTATAGTTAAAATAATTTAATTTGGCCATACCTCTTTTCTTTTCACTATGGGCAGTCTTATCCACTCCTGAAATACTTCATCTGATGTCCATAAAATACCAAGCTTTCCTGATTTTCCTCTTCACTAGCCACTCTTCCTTAAATCTCCTTTGCTGGATCTATAAGTACTATGTATATGTGGGTGATCCCTAAATCTATCTCCAGTTCAGAGTGCTTCCTTGAGCAGTACACTTGTTACATTAATTCAACAAGTATTTATGGAGTACTTACTGAGTGTATTGTATAGTTCTAGGTGTTAAAGATACTGCAGTTGAAAAAAAAAGTTGAGTCATCATAAGTGCCTTGAAGAAAAGTAAAGGGATGATAGTTTTGGGGAAATCAGTGCGGTTATGAGTGTTCTATGTTAAGTAGAGGGATTAGGGTTTATGCCCTCTGAAGAAGTGACCTTGGGGCACAAATGGAATGATACTTGGTGAGCCAGGGGGCTGCCTATATGGAACAAGATTTCCTCTAAACAGAGAAAAGCAAGTGCAAGCAACTGGAGATAGAAACGGAGTTTGACAAATTTGGAGAAATGACCTGGAGCAATCCTATAAATCATGACAAGTCTTTGGTACCTAACAAAAGGACTTGGGCTAATAAGGACTTTGGACTTTAGTCTCTGTGAGATGAGAAGCCATTGGGGTGTTGAGTAGAGAAGTGACCTGACTTGATGGATCTTAAAAGAAAATTTTTGGCTGCTGTGAGGATAATAAACAAGGGTGGGTCAAGAGCAAAATAGGATTAGTTTGGAGACTGTAGGATAGATGAGAGATGTTGGCTTCTACCAGAGTGGTAATGGGAGGGAGAGTGAAAAGTGGTCTTAATCTGTGTGCTTTGAAGGTGCAGTCTTCACATTGTTGCTTGTATACTGAATGTAAGGTATGAGGAAAAGAGAAGATTCAAGGATGACTCCATGTTTTTTGGCTTGAGCAACTAGAGGAATGGTGACATCATTTATTAAGATTGGAACATGGTACAGAGAAATCAAGAATTCTGTTTTGGACATGTTAAGTTTGAGATGCCTAATAAGCTTCCAAATGGAGATGCAGAGTGGGTGGTTGGATGAAGGACTATGGAGCTTAGGGGAAAGTCTAAGCTGAAATGTATATTTGACAATCATTAGCATTTTTAAAACCAGTGTAACTGGATGAGATTGTGGGTGGGACTATAAACAAAAGAAGTCTCAGGATTGAGCTTTGGGGGCACCTCTGACATTTAGAGGTGACAAGATGATCTAGCAAAGGAGATTTAAGAAAGAGTGGCTAGTGAAGAGGAAAATCAGGAAAGCTTGGTATTTTACCGACATCAGATGAAGTATTTCAGGGAGGAGTATTCATCTCTATCAGAGGCTGTATGTAGCACATTGGTACCTGATGTTTTAGCCCCTTTCCTGTTTATTAGTTTGTCACTTTCTCATACTTGCAAAACTATGTTAGAAACCCTTCTAATACACTCTGCCACACCCCATCATAGCTACAGTTAACATTATTATAATTGCTGTTTAAGTGTATTCCTATATGTAGGTCCCAAACCCCACCCTCCAGGGCTATTTATTACTTTACTTAACTGTTAACATCAGAATGCTCATTTTACTGCTTGGCATAGAAAAGGCTCTAGATAAATATTGTGAGAGAACAATGTTCCAGTCTTCTGGAATATATCTGATTTTTTACAATTTTACTAACTTGTCAGTTTATAGTTTTTGTTTTCAAAATCTTTTTCCATCCTATTTGATTATGCTGAATTACATAAACTACAAACAGGTATCCACATGACTCAGTTCAAAATGGCCAAGGTAAAACTGTGAAGTTATTTTTAGGGACCTGACTTCTCATCTGTCCCAAATACGAGGCTTACCCCATCTTTCCAAACCAGGTGTGGTACTTTATATTATAGTCCCTTATTTACCCATTTCTATCACATTCTTTCAGAATCTTGTTTGGGTAATCTGATGAAAGACTTTTAAGGTGTTAATGGCTGATGATGTCTTTTCTAATTATCCCTCAAAGAGTTTCTTTTTTCCCCTCACTTTCATCTCTTTGTTTATTGAAATGTGTGTTCAGTGTCGTCAATGTTGTATCTGCTGTGTTAAACATTGAATTAAAGTATAGGACTTTGGATCATATGTCATTATTACTAATAATGAATTTCTAATAGATGTGTTTATATTTCTTCTGTCTTCTAGAACATTTAGAATCCTCTTTACTAGAAGCATACTGTGAAATTTTGGAAAAATGGTATAGTGTTCAGAAATCTTTGCGGGGCCACTGGAGGCTTAGAGTTTGAAGGATATTTCTATGATGAAGACTTTTCGTATTGTTTTTAGCAATTAGATGTGTCATTCAGTCATGGTAAAGAAATATTAGGCAGCAGAGTATGTATTTTTTTTTATTAAAGTATCATTGATATACAATCTTATGAAGGTTTCACATGAACAACATTGTGATTTCAACATTCACCCGTATAATCATGTCCTCTCCTATCCATTGCAGTCATTGTCCATCAGTGTAGTGAGACACTATAGAGTCACTATTTGTTTTGTCCATGCTGTACTGCCTTCCCTGTGACCTGCCTATATTGTGATAGTGAATTATAGTGCCCCTTAATCCCCTTCTCCCTCCCTACCTCCACCTCAACCCCTCCCCTTTGGTAACCACTGGTCCCTTCTGTCAGTCTGTGCAGAGTATGTATTGATGTGCATCTGTCTGGCTTGCTTATAGTTCTGTGTAGCTTGAGTTCATTTTACAAACAAAATGCTTGGTTATGTGCTCTTATCAGACTTATTCCAATTTCCAAGCCTTTTCTCTTGGATTGGGTGAATTTTTAGGTCACTTCCTTTGAATAATATAAGGCAGCTTTTGTTTGATATTACATTAAGCCATTTTATCAGGTGGCATAAAACCATTTAGTTTACAATGAGAGTGCTACATATTCTCTTCTGGAAGAGCTCCATTTTGCTGAAAGTGAAAATATTTGCAAACAACACTAGAGTGCCTGTGTGTTATATTAACATGTTAGGAAAACTTCTGATGTGGTGACTTAAATTTTCAAAAGTCTGAATAGATACATTTGAAGTAGTAATTGGAAATAAGAGTTTGATGATATAAGTGATAGTTACTTTTGTGTATTATCTTACTATTGTGTGCAAAGAAAATACATAATTTTATTGATTGCTTAGATTTACTTTTTTTGTGGCCTCCAGACTGTTACACTTTTCTTTTAGGGTGGGATTCTGTTCAGAGCTCTTTCAATAGAGTTTTAAAAAAATTTGAAATAAGAGATCTGTAAATTGCATTGGGACCATTAAGAAAAAACTATAGACTTTGAATTTTGACTTAAAAAATGTGCTCAGTTTATCTATTATGCCTGCAAAGCTAGAAATATATGTTCTGAAATCTAATTTGGCTTAATAAAACAAACCTGTGATACTTAGCTATTAATATTAAGGGAAGAAATGTCATAGTTGCTTTCTGGAAAGTGTCTTTCCATTTTCTTCTACATATCATGAATCAAACAGTTAACAACTTTCGTTTACAAAAAGAAAAAAAGCAGCTCATTGTGTTGACACTTTACAGTTGGAGAGACAACTGCACGAAGATGAAGAGTTTGCCAGAACATTAGCCATGTTGGATGAAGAACCCAAGACCAAAAAGGTGGCATTTTAACCCAGGCTGTTTACATTCTGAATATACACTATAGATCAGTGTTCCCTTTCATACCTGTGTATTCTAGGCTCTGGAGATACAATCAGCAGTAGCTCTTCTAGAAGGAAGCTAAATTATTTTAATTTATAAAATATTTTTGGGAAAGCTTATTGAGAAACTTATTTTTCCCAAAGGAAGGTTGATAGAGCCAAAGCCCGCTAGAACCCTTTCCATAAAATGAATTGCAACTTTTTCATACTCTGTTACAAAGGGGTTCTTGTGTACCTGTTCAGAGAATAAATAACCCTTATAAAGATCCCTATGAAACCTAAAGTTTGATAGCTAATATTAATTATTGTCTTTCTGGGAAGCACAATTTTGCTATTTCTAATTAGCTAACTTTAAGACATATATTAGGACAATCTCAAATAATGAGTATATTTTGGGGAATATTTAAAAAGAGTCAAGATTTTTTTAAAAAGCTTGATCTTCAAAAATTAGCCTATTTCTATAGAGTCGCTTTCTGCTAATATTGTCACTACCAAAATTTGACTATTTTAAAAGATTTTACAGCAGGCAGGGGTAAGACAATAGGGAGTGGTGGGGACTTTATCATTTGAAAAGTTTTACTCCCCCTAAAGACATTCAGATTATAATTATTTTAAAAAACACTGTGTCATGCACCCCAACATGTGGCCTATCTGTAAAATGGAGTTTTGAAGGAGCAGTGGAGGGAATGGATTTTTTTTTTCTCTTTTGAGAAAGTTCTCTTATTTTCCTTTAGAGTTTTAGATTGTTAATTTAGTCTTTGGGTTTAGATTTTAGTTTTTAACTGCTTAATTCTAATAACTTGAGAATTGAGATGAAAGAAATAGAAATAAGGTTTCCTTTTCCAGACTTAAAAGTTGGGGACAACTGGGATAATTTTTTAGATATATTTTTTTATACACTTCATGCTTCATTTGCTGTAGAAGTTCTGTGGATGAAAAAATGAAAATTTATTGTATTACCCTGCTACATGGAAGGTGGCCCTTAATCTTAAAATTTAAAGTTGTCAAAATCAACTAAAGTTTTAATCTAATTAATATATTTTGTGGTAATAGTTTTCCTGTTTGTTACATTTGACACTTTTAAATTTTCTTAGGTTCGAAAGGACCCAGAAGAAAGAGAAACATTTTCATTGGTTCAAGCCAATTTAAGTAAAGCAGAAAAGCATAAATATCCATATAAAGGTAATACTAACAGAAAGAAGTGAACTGTAACATTTATCTTTATAGAAGAAAATTCATGGTAACTTTATTTAAACATTCTATTCAATAATTGCCTTGTATTGTTAGGCAGACATTATCTCATAGGAATATTAAAGCATGTTGTGCTAGGTACTTGGAAAGCTGTTTGCATATGAGATGGTACAGAATGCCTCTGCTCTGTGATTGTTTTTAGAAATGTATTACAACTCTTGACTTCATGTTAATTTCCAAGTATAGTGTAATGTGGACTTCAACATATGAAGACAGTGAACTTCCGTTTCAAGCTCATAGAGTTGCCTCATTGTATCTACATCCTTGGAAGCTCTCCTGCTGATTGTGTATAGGTTTTGTTTTTTAGTGGACCTAATATCTAGTAGAGGTGGGCTTAATCCTATAAGTAAGTCTGTTCATATAGTACCTTTTTGTCTTGAAATCTCACGATTTGGAGCTTTTAAAGACTATGTTATAAACACAGAATTTTTATGTGATATGTGCTAGTCAGTAAGTTTTCTCTTAGTAAATTTCAGATCATTGAAGTTTATCTGTAAAGTCATGTCCTTAGATGTAGTTTACCATATCGTTTCAATTAATGAGTAATTTATATTTAAAGAGACATTGTTTGAACTGGTTATATACAAAGTAGTACTGTACAGATGTTTAATTTTTAAAATAAATGTTCATAAAAGATAACTAATATCTTAATGTAAATGTTAATAAATCACCCCATGACAGTGTGAGCTACTAAGATAATTCAGTTGAAACATAAAAAAATAACCTTGATATTAGGCATCATTTTCCAAAAACAACAATCATAATCTTTTCTTTCTTCCTAGTAAAAACAGAATTTTCAGATGAAAGAAAGAACTGTAGTCCTAAGAAGCAAACTAAATGTGAAAGTTCAAAAGAATCTCAGCAACATTCCAAGTCATTAGCTCACAAAATGGAAGAAACTTCTTCTCCAAAAGCCAGTTCCAAGCTAGCACTTATGAAAAAAAAAGAATCAAGTTCTTCTAAAGAAGCAGGGCCTATGGCTTCAAAAAGAAAAGAAAATGTCATTGAATCGAAAGGACAGACAAAAACACCTAAGAAAACCAAAAGTTCTCCAACTAAAAAAGAGGTAGAAATTTTCTACAAGTGTACCATTTGGGGGCTATGTGTTTGTCTGAGCTTGATGGTTTTCAAGTTGTATTTCTAACTTTGTAAGTCATGTATAATACTTTTAAGGTACCATCTTATTTAGCTGCTGTTGCATAATATAGGTTAACATAGTTAAATAGCCAATATTTGTTGAGTGTTAATTGTGTATCAGATATTTTGCTAATACATATGGTATCTCATGTAGGCTTCACAACAACCCTGTAAGATATTTACTTTTGTTATTTAACTTACAAAGGTGAAGAAACAGACTTGAACTAAGTACCATTTTCCAAGGTCATCCAGCTAGGAAGCAGCAGAAGCAGCTTTGAACTCAGGTCCTCTGAGGCCCAAAACAGCAGTGTGACACGGTGGCTCTGAGTGTGGACTCTGAGGCTAGTTTCAGATCATAGCCTTGCCACTGAATAGATGCATGACCTTGGTCTGGTTACTTCTCCCACTCTCTGTTTTGGTTTCCTGGTATCTGAGTCAATATGTAAAATCATTTGAAACAGTGTATGGTACATGGTAAGTGCTTATTAATCTTTGCTATTATTATTAAAATAATTAGTTTTTGGATTTGTCCTGAATGTACTCCTTTTTTTGCTGTTTTATAACAGTGTTGAGATACTGAAATCATTTTCAAAGGACAAAACAGTGAAATACTCAGAATGGTTTTTAAAAGTGTTTTTTTTTTTCATATATATGAGAGAACTCCATGGTTTCTTAGGCTTGACAATTTGGAGCCACCTTAGATTCATAACAAGAAACCATTGTTCCTTTAATCCTTTTAAGAACTTAGAACTAAAAGTAGAATATTGTCTATTTTAACTGCTCATCACCATTATTTGTTAGTACAGAACAGTGAAATGGTGATGCTTTCTAGAGCATCACCGTTCAGAGTCAGTGCTGATAAATATGCTTAAGGCAACAATTAATTTTTTGGTCTCAGATTTTTCTTCACTAAACACTTACCTGATAGATGGATTTTTTTGTCAAGCACACTAAACATACTCAGTTTACAGAGGCTTGTCTGTCTTTGTTAAAGGATCTTTAAATGATACTGTTACTCTTCATCTTATATTTCAAAGATGGAATAGAAATAACTCAGGGAACTTTTACTTAAGCAGTTTTGGGAACATCAAAAGTCTAATAAGTTCAATCTCAGTCAAATAATTTTTATTTCATAAATGGGTATGCTTCAAAGTTATTTTATAAGTTGTTTATAATGCACGATCATTTTTTCATAGAGTTAATATTATAAATGAATAACTCTCCCATTTTGGTATTCTTTGGACTCTCTTGTGAAGCTTGTTAAAAATTTGGTTTCCCAAGGTATGTGGTCTGGGCAGGCATATTTAAATAAGCTCCTCATCATTCGAATACTCATCAGTATGTGAGAGCCACTGTTGAAAAGTAGGGTTAGGGTAGAGGACTAGCTAACTTAACCAAATTAGCTTATCTGTTTTATTGATTAAAAAATTTATTTGTATAGAAGTAATATTTTGTCTGCTCTCAAAGGGATTTGAGGTGGCTTACAAGTTAAAAAAAAAAGTAAAATAGGAAGTGGGAAAAACAACACAGGCTATTCTTAATAGTGGTTCTTAAATCAGAATCATCTAGGGTGTTTTTTCCTCCAAATACAGAAGCCCTACCTATACACCATATCTCTGAATCAGAAACTTGGAGTAAGTCCAGGGATATATAGTTTGAAAAATTTCCCCAGGTTTTCTGAGATAGACCCGAGGTAAGATTCCCTGAGAGAAATTGAATAGGAGACATTAAACCTAGAAGGGAGAGTGGCTCATAGAGAATGTTTCTGCTTTTTAGAGTAAAGCTTGCCTCTTGTTTGAGCCAGTGGTTTAATGAAGCCATTAATTTGCAGACAATAGACTCAAATAGCCAGAAATTTGGGGCCATTTAGGTTGTTTTAAGGGTGTGCGAGGTCACAGTATAAACTCACAAGATACCTTCTTGTGTGATCAAATTTACTTGGGGAAAATTTTATTTTTACATTAAAATACACAAAGATCAATTATGGTATAGAATTTAAAATTCATATGAATTTTTGAAATGAAACAACTTTTTTCTTTGCTTGAGGCTAGCAACTTGGCTTATGTACCCAGTCTGTCCTGAGGTGTGTGCTTTTAGAGAGTGTCAAGGCTTGAGAAGGGCTGATGCAAGGATGATTGTTAAGTCAGATGTGTGAATTGGGGAATAGTTGTGTATCTAAAAGTGTTACTTTCAGGACCAAACAGAAGTGACTCAATGTTTATTTATTGATATGTATTTTTAATTTTACATGAATTTTGCATGGCTGTTCAATTTCTTTTCCCTCTCCACAAAGTCTATAAGTCCTGAAGATTCTGAAAAGAGGCGCACTAATTATCAAGCTTATCGAAGCTACTTAAATCGAGAAGGTCCCAAAGCACTGGGCTCCAAAGAAATACCAAAGGTAAGGAGTATTGAGAGGGTATGCCATTCTGTCAAAGCCTCTGGCCAGTGAGTCTATACATACATTATGTTTACAGCAGTGAAGAACTAGTAATTAGAAACTTAACAGAAAAGCCTTAGTCATCATCTTTATGATTTCAGGATTTTTATTTACATTATGAATCTTGCTCGATACCTAGAAAAATTTTCCTTTAAGTACTACATAGCCCTGCAAGGGCTGATCTTTGAGGAATACGGCAGTCATAAGACTAATGCTCTTTGCTTTCATGGTACTTATGATCTGACTCAGGAGAGAGATATTAAGTAAACTATTATTGATTGTAATTGTGATGTGTGCCATAAAGGAAAAATCCAAGATGCTCTTGAGGAGTATACTGCAGGAACTGGTCCTGGGTGGGGTTGCAGAATAAATGGCATTTAAATGGAGATTTGCAGAATGAAAGGGACTTACCAGGTGTGAAGGAGCTGTGATGGCTTGGTGATCTGGGCAGAGGGGCTGGGATGTGTGATAAACCCTGAGGGGTGAAGGATCTTGCATGGTATGTTTGAGGAACTAAAAGCAAAACAATGTACCTGGAACACAGTGACCAAGAGGTGGACGTGACCAAAGAAGTAAAGTATGCCATGTCTTGCAGGGCCTGACATTTAGGACTTTCGCCTAGAGAAGGAGTTGAAGTTGGGGAATAACGTGAACAGATTTGCATTTCAAAAAAAAAAGCCACTGTGGCTGCTGAGTTATAGATGCACTATACTACACTGCAGATACAGGGAGATCCGTTCGGAGAGATCGTAAAAAATAATAGCCTTGTCCAGGGTAGTGGCACAAAAGTGCTGAAAGTGAAGTAGCATCATGGAGAAGGTGTGATCAGTAGGACTTGGGGGCAACTGAAAGTGGGAAATAAGAAAGCATGAGCATTAGGGATGATTTCCGGTGGTGCAGCTGGGTAGGTGCTGATGCCGTTGGAGGTGGAGCAGGTGTGGGGTGGTGGCAATGAGTTCATTGTTAGCTATACCGTGCTGCAGACTAGATGTATGTGAGATACCCATGTGGGGGTGTGGAGTGAACAAGTAGATGTGCAGGACTGGAGCTCATATGTCAAGATGGGGTGTAAAAACTTGGGCATTATTGGCATGCAGATAATGTTTGAAAGGAATGATACCATCTGGCAAACTAATATAGAATGAGAAGAGAAGAGGGTTTTGAGCCTCACTTCTTCCTGAAGTAGAGGAGGGTGAAGCCCAAAAGGAGACTGAGAAGAAACAGGAACAAATGTAGGAGAAAAGTCTGATAAGGGTGGTGTCCCAAAAGCAGTGGGAAGAGGAATTTTTAAAAAATGGCTAAGAAAATTATGCATTTTTTTAGTAACATGAGTGATCCTTAGTGACCTTAGTGAAAGCAGTTTCAGGTGGATGGTGATGGAGGCAGAGCCTGATGGAAATGGGTTGAAGGGTGAAGTGGAGGAAATAAAACAGAAGCAGCGTAAGTCGATAATATTTTTGATAAGCTTGGTTGTGAAGGGAAGAGGAAAGAGAGGACTTCTAGCTACAGATGGAAGGTGGGATTTAGGGGGGACATATAATTTTAAGGTAGGATATGCTTACATCATGCTTCTTGCTGATGGGATCAATCTACCAGAAAGGGACAGATTGAAGATATACCAGAAGAAGAAGAAAGTTAATCGAGCAGTAAGAGATTTTTGAGAAGATAAAAGGGAAGGGGATTCAGACCACAAGTAGAGATTAGTTCCCTTCAAAAAGAGGGGAGATGAGCCACTTCAAGGGGCTAATGGGTTGTATAGGAGGCTAGAGGAAGACGCCAACCTTCCCTCCTGTATATGGTATGAGAAAGATGCCAAGGTTTCTCTGCTTAAGAGGACTTCAGGCAAAGTAGTGTCCTTGGGGATAGCCAGGTTTTGGTGAAAGCGAGGCCGTGGAGAGAGTATTGGAGAAGAGGTTGAGGAGATGGGGTGGTTTGCTGGTCCTGCAG